TTATGAAACATTTGGCCAAGCAGAAAGTTTAAAAATATTTCTAAACTTCCCCAATTGCAAAATTACACAGCATGTTTTGCTCCTTGTGCTGTGAAGGAAGGAAAGCCTTCCTGGGCGGGAGCTGGCTTGCTGAAGCCCTTCCCTGCACTTCTGACAGGAATCAGTGAGATTAACTAACTGCTGTTGCAGTGCCTAGCCTGTCATCTGTGCCGTACAAAAATGAAACACGGTGCATTCTAAGAAAGAACTTAAAGGAGCCAATTTCTCAGAAAATATCTTAATGACCCCTTAAGGTTCACAGCACAATCATTTACAGCAAAAATTGCTTTAAATGTGGAACATGTTCCTCTAGGTCAGCAATACTCTAAGCTGCACATATACAGCAAGTGCAAGCAGATGGTGGAGAAGATGACCGGATCTCAGCAAAATACACGCTGAGTGTTCCCTCTTAATTCTGTGGATCCCTGTTTTTCTCATTGTAGTAGGATCTGCATAATGAAGCAGTTTCATTGAAATTATTAAGGAACTAGTGAGCTTGTTCTTCCAATAGTTAACCATTGTGTCCTTTTATTTCTCCTATTTGAGTTAACAAAATACATTTCTGTATGCTGAGTGGAGACATGTTTCTTGAAAGGAGACCACCATACTGGTTTTTGTTTTTTGGTTTTTTTTGTGTGCGTGGTGTTTTGGGGGTTTTGTTGTTTTTGTTGTTGTTGTTGTTGTTGTTGTTGTTGTTGTTGTTGTTGTTGTTTGTACCGGGGATTGAACTCACTACCTCTTGCTTGCAAGGCAGGCGCTAATGCCACTGAACTAAATCCCCGGCCCAACTTCACTGTACTGTTAAAAAAATGTTTTCCATTTTTACCTTAGTGCTCCGAGTATTGATAAGCAGAACATGATTTGGTGGAGATTTTACTTTATCCATGGGAAAATATTTTTCACTGCTCGTACCTGCTTTTCTACATATATATACAATGTAAATTCTTATAAAAGTATCCCCCTTTCTCCAACTCTGGGATGCAACCTTGTTACTCAATTTCTTCAGAATCCAGGCCTCTAAACCATTCAGGCACCTTATGGACCACTTAGATTTTGACAAGACAATGTTTTAAAAATTTTTTAATGAGATTTTGTGACAGAATTAGCATCTGCTGCCCACAGCCCATTTTGTTTGGTAGGGTGGTGGAACTCAGGGCCTTCCTACCCCTGAGCCACATCCCCAACAACTATAATTGTTTTTAAAAATTAATTACTTTGTAATTGTTCCTGTACTAATAGCACAGAGCTCCCTAAACCAGCAATGGTGAACCTTTTACAGCTTTAAATGATAACAGCCCGCTGCAACACACATGCCAGAAGTTCGCCAACACTGCCCTAAAAATTACAGCCAATTGAAGGAAGATAAAGATAAATTAAAAGAGCCAAACACATTCTTGATACAGACTGAAGAGAGAGGAGACCCCCAGGCTTTTTGTAGTGTTTTTTGCCTTCTGCCATCTTCCTTACCTGCCAGTCCCGGGATATATCATGCAGTGGGAACCAATGGCACTCTTGTGCATCTAGCTTTTTAAAGTCCTGAATCTGAAATCCAAAAGTAGTGGACATTCTAAATGCAATTGCTAAGATTTATGTTAAAAAGTCATTAGAAATATTAACCTCTCCTTCCGTCTTATCTTAAGAAATGGTGACTAGAACGGTCCTTCTAAAGCATGAGAATAATTGCAGAAAGGGAGAGATTATGGGCAATTCTGTTCCTGAGTTCTTACCCTGGTTTCTATTCTGAAGTAAAGAAGGTAAGAAGTTCAGATTAAGAAACAACAACCCAGAACTCAGCCTTGTTTGACATGTTAAACTGGTAAAAATATTAGTGATAGGCAAACAGAGAAATCATACCAATAAGTGTGGAATTTTTTTAATTCATAGATAAGGCTTCGGGTTGGAGAACATTTCAGGGTACACCAGTGTGACCAATCACTGCTGAGAGTGAGGTGTTCAGTGAATGACGCGTGGTTAATCCACAGTGACTTTGGGCCAACAAGTGGCAAACACAAATGGAGCAAACCTGAGCATAATCTTAGAGTGTCCTGGTGTCGTCAGGAGGGTGCGGTGGAGTGGCCCTAAGCTGGACAGGACTTCAAGAACAATTCTAGGAAACTGATGAGGTTTGAGTGCAACCCATGCCACGGAGGAGCACAATATAATCGTATGCTTACAGCTAACTAAGCCAGGTTTGGCTCCTTTGGAAAAGGAATTTTGTCTGAAGCCTCATTTCTAAACTGTTACAGCTATAAAAGTAGAATTAAATGGCATGGGTTCCAACTCTTCCTTAAAATTACCCTTTCTTTGTGTCTTTTTAGGTCTTACATCCCCAGTCTCTGCTCAGTAATTTGAGGCATATCCAATTCTTTAATGATCAGACCTCTATCTTAATATATTGTCTATCTTAAACTATGGTCACAGGAACACTTAGGTGACAAAGGACATTCAAAGAAGAATATCAATTTACTTTCTGTTTCAATCTTTGATTGCTTTAGGTGCAAGCATGCTCCTCCTAAAAGTTTAGTACAAGCTCAGGCTTGGACCACAGTATCTTCATGAGAGCAAGTCATTATTAAAGATGACAAAACTATTAACTTATTGAGATTACTTATTCACTGACCCAATATGCAAATTCTCATGAAACAATAACAAGGATGTCTTCAGTGATTGTTGCAATGGATCACTATTACGGCAGTGGTATCAGAGTTTCTGAGCACTGATTTGGGAGCCAGGTTGCCTACATGGAGACCCACTGAGACCTGGGTAACTTGACATCTAATGATGGCTCTGTTTTCATCTGTAAATGGGAAAATGGCAAGCCCCACCTTGTCTGTTATTGAAAGGATAACCTGCTTTAATGTAAGAGCATGGAAAAGAGCTTACCACATAGTAATCATAGTAAGTGCTGGCTGCAATGAATGCTATAATTGTGTTCCTAGGAACTCAGCAACATTCGGATTATAATGGAATGTTAAACTGTACACATTCTTCAGAATATTTGTTAATTGCAACTGTTAAATGAGTTGAACTTCAAGGCACATGTGCAAAATTTTAGCTACTCCTGGTAAACTACTCCTTTTGATCTTTTAAAGGAAAAATCTCCCATAGAAAGAGAGGAAGAGAGAAACGGAGACAGAGACAGGGTGAAATAAATATTTTAATAACACAGTCCAGACATAACAATTTACCAAAAGTTTAACATGAAATGAGATGCATTATTGCTGAGGCTTTGATCGTATTTTATTTATAAGCAGATAGTTTAAAGACTGCAAGGGTAGCCTGTATATGTGTGTCTCAGTTATTTTCTCATTGCTGAGACCCGGTAGCCAAAATAAAAAAAGTTAAATGAGGAAAGGTTTATTTTAGCTCATAGTTTGTAGAGGTTTCAATCCACAGTCAGTTGATTTCAGTACAAGTAGCATGGCGGGGGAGAAACAGATCATGGCATGGCAGGCAGAATGCAGCAAACCTTCCTTCTTTCCCTTTTTATTTCATTCAAGCTACAAGCCTATTGGTTGGTGCCACACACATCCAGAGTGGGTCTTCCCTCTTTGGTAAATCTATCATCCACAGGAAAAACTGTGCTAAACCAATCAGTGGATTGATCAATATTCCATATTCATGATCCAGTCACTCCCTAAAGTCCCACCTATGAGCACACGAGACCTCTAAATATAAGCCATAATGGTGTGTATGTAGTTTCCCCTGTTCTCCTTGTCAAAATAGTTCCATTTAGGGAAGTGTGGGGGAAGCTTTCTTCCCCATTTGCAGATACCTGTATACAGTGTTTTGCCCAGAAGGGAAAAAATAGTTTACTGTGATTTCATCTGAAGCACATATTCAAAGATGTCAAAATGAAATATTTATTGCTGTGGGATGACTGATTTATCTGCAGGAAGATGCACTGGTTGTTAACATAAAATCAGAATCATGTCTTGAAATTGGCTGACAAAGAGAGATGGGGACCCCGACAAGTTCCTTCTAGCCCTCAAGCAGCGACCCCACATCCCATAACCTTTGTTTCCTACCAGGTCTCAGATTCCCACAAATGGGGTCTATGCTTAGAAAATCCAAAGACTTGTTTATAAAGTATCTCATAATCAGAAGAGTGTGTGTTCAATTTCTGTTAGCATATTCAATAGCTCCGTGTTGTCAGCTAAGATACTACACACTCTGTAAGTGACTAAGGTCAGTCCTCAAAAGGTGATTTCAATGAGTAAAGAGAATCTGGGCCAAGTAGCTTTGAGAGCTGGTGCAATGATCAAAGAAAGATTCGTATTTTGTTAAGGGAGGATTTCAGGGGCCTCCATGCATAATGACTTGGCTGAGGTGGAGGGACGGTATAGTGACCCCTCAGTGTGAGTAAGGATGAAAAGTGAGTCACCTCCCTCTTGGCTTTTATCTCTCTCCTCTCCTATCTCATTCTACACAAATCTGTTCAGAAAATAATGGAAAAGCAAAGAATTGGGAATGGCAGGTTAACATCCTAGTCTTTGCTATCGTGTATGTTTCTATCTTATTAAAATGCTGATCAGTGGTTACACATGCAGCTTTGTTGAAGGAATTTTGCATTGAATAAGGATCAAGAGAAAGGAAACAAGCAAATGAATCAGCAAAGTATATCACAGGCTGCCGAAGTGCCTCTTTTTGCTTCATGTCTACCTAATATAACCCTGAGTAAAACCATTTATCCATTTGTAGATAATTACTAAATGGTTACTAGTTATAATATGTGACAAACTAAAAATAACCAATATTTGCTCCACTTCCTTCTCAGAGTTTTGTTTTGTTTTGCTTTGCTTTTTGTTTTTGTTTTTGGAGAAGCAGCCATCAAATTTTGTAACAAAAATTATTTCATGATAAAGTTATTATTCTCGGTTTGATCTTGTTGCTACTTTGGTGATTTTGGGGGTTGTGGGGCATGTCCCACCCACCTATTTATTATAACATTTCTTTTCTAGAGCCAGAATAGGACAGACTCATATACCATTCTGATCTGGGTGCATTTCTTCAGAAGGTACGCTGACCTCATGGGGAACCACAACTGCCTGGGCCTGGGGCTGGCAAGGCCCAGGGGAAATGTGTCATGTGCACTTTAACAAAAGATCTCTTTATGCAGTTAAGAAAATACAACAGGAGGTGGGCAACCAAAGAATATGACCATATCCTAGCCTGTCCTTGACATTCATTTTGTATGATATTCCCGGTAGAACTTCTGGCTTAAGATTCTGCATAGATACCCTTGATTTAAGCTATTAGATTTAAAAGAGGCCAGCAGGGACATAAGCAGCAAGGTAAAACTACAGATATCAAGATAGCTTGCTTTCTCCTCAAATTGTAATTGTTTTAGAGTTCTTTACTGTATTTCTCTATGAGTTTTTTTTTCTTCCTGTGCAGGGATTTGAACCTATAGTGCAATACAGTGATAGGAAATCTTTTAGAGACAAGAGCCCAAACTACAAATCAAAACCCACTTAGTTAAAAGAAAAGCAACTCACATTGCCACCACTGGCCTGTGCTTGCTAGACAAGCAGTCTGCCACTGAGCCACTGCCCCAGTGCACACAATGGAATATCTTGTATGGGTCTTAGAAACACCATGAGGCACAGTAATTAAACTTTACCTGTGTTCGAAAGTTCTTTCCTTCTTGTTGTTTTGCAGGGACAGCCACTCCCCTGTAATCTGTACTTGTTAAAGAGGATGTCTCTTGCTCACTGGCATGTCACAGGGCCCAGGGAAACCACGGGCTTCCTGTCAGTGCCTTGAGCTCCCCCATGCCATCCCTGGCTCTCCACCTTCCCAGGGACTCTTGACTTGGAAAAGGCAGAGAGAGGCCGGCTACCTCAGGATGTCACTGCCGGCTGCTTGCTGACTCTGACTCTTAACTCTCTCTGCTCTGAAGTCACACTGAGTACATATTGTCTGGATTTTGTTCCACTTTTGCTCATCTAAACTGAGTATGGAAGGATCTACCCAAATCTTCCTTCCCTAAAAAGTAATTTAATTTGCTCTCTTACCTCTCTTCAGGTCAAATTGGTTCAACCTCTGGATTGCAAAAGAAGTAAAGTCTAGAGACCACATTCTAACCTTTTTAATTTTCTAGCTCTGCTGTAAAGAATGCAACAAACTAGTAGCTTAAAAATAAAGTAACAGGGGTTGGGGATTTAGCTCAGTGGCATAAGCGCCTGCCTTGCAAGCAGGCAGTTGTGAGTTCGATCCCTGGTACCAATAAAAAGGAAAAAGACAAAAAAAAAAAAAACAAAAAACAAAGAAACAGAGGCCAGGGGTATAGCTCAGTGGCACAACAAGGTCCTGAGTTTGATTCCTGGTACCAAAAAAAAAAAAAAAAAAAAACCCATATAGTATCACAATTTTGAAATCTGGAAATGTGGAATCAAGGTGATGGCAGGGCCAATGTGTCCCTGAAGTCACTACAGAAGAAACTCTGCCCTTTCTAAACTTCCAGTGCTGCTCAGCATTCCTAGGCCTTCCTTGGCTGATGACTGCATCACTCCAACCTCTTCCATCAGATAATGTTTTCCTTCCTGTGTATTCCCATCCTGCTCTCTGTGTAAGGATGCTAGTGTCTGGATTTAGAGTGCACCCTACTTCAGTATGATTTCAATTAGCTTGACTGCATCTGCAGAGATCCTATTTCCAAGCATGGTCATTTTCATAAATACTAGGGGTCAAGACTTTCAACATATCATTACAGTGGACACAACTCATGCCACAACAGCTACTATTAAATGTCAAGTCATCTCCAAATAGGAAGCAGTTCCAGACTATCTATTGCAAGCTCAAAGCATATCTTTCACTGCTCAGACTGAACACTTAACCTTTTCCACATCTGTGGAAGTGACATACTCTCCAGACGCGAGGGAAGAGTGACCAAATGCCTCCCTGGCAGGACTGTCCCAGCTAGAGCAGACTGTTTCTGAATAAGGCCAGCACACAGAGGACCAAACACCACAGACCACTTTTTTGCATTCTGCTACATGCAAAGCCAACTAAAACTTCTCATTTGCATTAACCATCTGAGCTGTTTCCCATTTGGAGGATACTCTATTCTAAATTCCAGCTCCTCCTATTCTAGGTGGGCAGAATTAGAGCCTCTGTTTTTGTGTCAGGATGAGAAAGTACACCCAACTGAGCTGTGTGCATCATTGAAGAAAAAAAAGATTTAACCATGTGGACTTTTTAAAAAGGCTTTTTAAGCATCTAAAAGAGTATAGGCAGTTGGCTATGAGAAAACTCTGCAAAATAGTAAGTGGAATGACTCATTTACTCCCTATTGGAAAAAAAATAATTATCCTGTGTTTCGTTCTTAAATTAGCATATTACTTTGTCAGCAATGATGGAATTTAGATTGAATTGATCTTCGGGTGGTCAGAAAAAAACTTCCTCCCAAATTCCCAATAGTGATACCTGCTTACCTGGCAGCAGGCAGGCCAGTAGCCCAGGTGCCCAGCCCTAACGGCAGGGCTGCATTTACAGCTTGAATCTGCTCAAGTCTGTGACCACTGGGAAGCCCCCTGAGCTGACCTGTTCCCATTTTTCACTCAGAGATGCCTTAGTACAAACCAAGCATTGTAACCTGCATTCCTGAGGCCCAGAGCAGTTAAAACAAGGGCTCTGTGAGCAACCTTTCTGGGGACACTAAAAAGACACTTGCTGAAGGTTTCTTTGCAGCAACAGAAATGCTGAGTCATATATCATAACATATAACAACTCATTGAATGAATATGCTGTCTTTATTTTGTAAAAGCATAAGTGCTGACTTATATGACTTGGTAAATTTTCTCCATTGTCCTCATAGTATATTTGTTAGTCAACTTTCTGTCACAGTGACAAAGCACCCAAGAGAGAACAAATTCACAAGGGAAAAGATTGACTTTTGTCTCATGGTTTTAGAGGCTTTGTTTCATGGTTGTTTGGTCCTATTGCCTTTGGGGCTGTGATGATGCAGTGTTCATGGTGGGACAGGAGAGCTCTTCTCCTCAGAGCAGCCAGAAAACAGAGAGAGGGAGGGGCTGGAGGTCAAGAGCACACACTCCTTGATGTAACCCAACTTCCTTCCACTAGGCCCCTCCTCCCAGGAGCACCACAGGTTGACAACAGACCTCCAGTGAATAGCTTTTGGGCAACATTAAGATCCAAACTGTAACAGTGTCTTGAATGGGAGAAGATATTTTCATTATGGAGAAAAGAAAGGTGACTTGTCCCTTGCAAGAGTTGGTGACAGTGGTGGAGCCAGATCCACACAGTGAGGACTGCAGGTGCTCAGCCTAAACTTCTACTCAGTTAGTGCTAAAAAAAATAAAGTTAAATAATATAGACTACAATAAAGAAGTTAATTTTTATGAGATTTAAAAACATCCTTCAAAGGTATATTTGGGGGTGTTTCTTTCCTTTTCTGAAAAATCACCTTACCTCTTAAAAAAACAAGTGGAATTACACCATCTATACTATTTTTTATCTTATAATTTGTTGTTTGGGGGATACTTTTCCATATCATTAAAATAGTTCTTGAAAATGTAAATCCAGTAACTACATGGAGAATTCTAACTTATAACACCCTTAATAATAAAATATTAAAAGTTGATCTTTTCTAATTCTAAAGGAGCCAAAATTTCTTCTACATTGCTACATTTTTCTTGATTCCCTTGGTAAAACAAATGTTACATAAATTATACTATACATGAAATGTTGTGATATTTTTTTCCTCTACAAAGTAGATCATAATTCTAAAATTGAGCAGAACCATCTGGAATGTGAACCATTAGAATAAATAAAAAGAAAAAGGGAAAAAGTAATAGAACCCTCTCCCAGGATTCTGAAAATCTTCATCATTTCTTGTCTTTCACAGACTGGGTACTGGTGAATATAAAAAAATGTTAGATTTGGTTATTCTGGAAATAACTGACCTTGAGAACTCATGATTCATGTGGTTACAGGATTATGGCCATCAGTTGACCAGATGGTGAAGGATGCCGTCCCCAAAATCAGTGTAACCTGAGGGTGAGGCAGGCAGAGAAAGCTCAAGGCATCCAGTTCTATGCTTTACTTATTCAGAAAGTAGAAACATGGTAGACAAATTCAGAAGGAAATCTTGTAATAATCCCTTAGAGGGCAGTCCTTTGAATGATTGGGGTTTGCTGAGTGGCCCAGAAAAATATGAGTAAAAGTCAATGAAAGTTTGCATTTTCTTTTCCCTCAATACACAGATTTAAGTGTTTTTAGCAAGTTTAAATTGTTTAATATTGATACAAGTTAGACTTTACCACATGAGAAAATAAAGGAGATTGGCTAATAAGAAGCAGTTTCTTTGACAGAGATGTACTCATCCTACAAGACAATGGAAACGATCTATCCAATTTTGATTATGTGCAATTCTCTGTACTGTTTGACATTTGTTATTTAATCTTCACACTCTAGATTTAAATAGGGTTCATCATCCTATTTCACAATGGAAGACAGAGAGATGGGAGGGCTGACTCCATTGTCCCATCCACTATTTCCGCAAAGCATGTGTCTGACTCCAGAGTAGACACCTGCCCGGCTTCAGTGTGGAGCATGGCATCTTCTCGGGTTCCTTGTGGGACAGACAGCATCCACCCACTGGGGTTTGTTCTGGTGTCCTGTGCCGTGTTCTGAAACTCACCACACAAAGTATGATTTAATGAAGAGTTCGATTGTTTAAGAAGCGTGGAAGGTCTCATAGGACACTGACAAATGGCATTGCAGTTCGTTTTCTTCCCTCTTTGAGAATCACCACGATTAACTTTCTTTTAGAATAGAGAATGCTTCCCTGATTCAAATAATCAGAGTTGCAATGCATTATTTTGCAATACAAGAGGTACTGTGGTTAAGTACATCTGGAAATAAGTCTCTATGGTTTTACTGTTTCACTAAAAATAATCTTATCAACCACTGTACTTTGACAGTTTTATAGTGAAAGAAACATTTATGAGTATTTATCTGGAGCATAAGAACTATCAAGATTAACAGAGCCAA